CCAGGGGTGCTAAACTCGTGGAGGACAAATCGAGGATTTCCAGCCCCTCGTCCGCGTCTCTCAACCTCTCCGATCTAGACGATGACCCACCAGCCATCGGCAGATCGCGCCTTGCCACAGCTTGCACCGACAACTCGCATTCACGAAGTGCCATCTCACCAAGACTGGGTTCGCCAGACTACTTCCAAACACCCAACTTCACCGCAGTCACAGCTGGCAGCCGTTCAAAATCCCATATTCCCGAACCGACCACGGATCTAACGAAATATCGCCTGAATTACCCCAGTCTGCTGGCCACGGTTCGTCGGTTGGTGAGTGGAAAAGCGGCACCCAATGCCACCCAAACACTGGGACCGTTCGCCGAAGAAATTTTGCGGCAGCGCGTTGACACAAGCCCACCAAACACATGGTCCATGTTCGATGTCGTGGACAATGCCATCACGCAGATAAGACGTCAGTGGAAGTGTCGTTATTACGCCCTTCTAGATGCTGTCGATCTCCTCTACAAGGACTACCAGTTGCTGTACCGAGTGAGTGAAACTCAACGCCGTGTATTGACATCACCGATGGTGGATCGTCTCCTAGCGAGCTACAGCGACAACGCAGTGATGGGAAATGACGAAATCACACAGACTGGCACGTTGTCGAGTTTGGATCCTGTTACTCACTTGGCTAGTCGAATAGCTCAACACGCGCCGTGTATCGAAGGTACCAAGTTCTGGCCCCATCGGTATTGTGCGTCAGTAGCCTTCGTTATCGACGTGATAGCTCAGTGTCGCTTAGCCAACGCCGAATTGAACAAAATCACAGCCTTTAACGAGCGCGTGCTGCATCAAGTGCAGCAAGCTGTAGATCAGAAGAATCAGCTGACTCAGCGCATTGTGGAACAACAGAGTACACTATCGCAGCTTTCAGCGTCGATGGCGGAGATGCGTAGGCAGATAGCCAGCTTGGAAAACGGCACCCCGCAACCACATCCCAGGCTCAGAGGGAGGATTCTCACGACGCTGGAGCGACAGCGCTCGCGGTCCTCGGAGTGGGTTCCAGTAAGGCCTAGCAGACACACAGAGGAACTTCGACGGTCGCTTGCAGCGAAGCGGAGAAAATTGGCAGCTCTGGAATTGGCTCTGCAGGAGGAAGAAAAGAAACGCCGGCAAATGCACAACCGACTACAGGAGATAACGGGGAACGTTCGCGTCCACTGTCGTTTGCGACCCCACAGTCCATCGTGTCAGGGAAAGAGCCACCTTAAAGTCTCATCTGGTAACAAAGTACTCGTGTACCCAGAAACAATGTGGAGGTCATTTGTCAGTTATAGGGCAGCAGTGCCGAAGCCTAACTCAAACCCCGATGGCTGCAAATGCTTCATATTCGACAGGGTCTTTGGTCCAGACGCGAAACAGCAGACAGTGTATAACGAGTTGGATGATCTTATCGTCTCTTGTGTGGATGGATTCAACGTCTGCATTATGGCCTACGGACAGACGGGAAGTGGCAAAACGCACACGATGGTTGGTACCCGTGCTGATCCCGGAGTGAACCGTCGGGCTATTCAACGGCTACTGCAATTATGCAAAGCGCGGCAGCACTGGAACTACCAGCTTTCGTTGAGCATGCTCGAAGTGTACCAGGAGGAGGTGTTTGACTTGTTGGCAGACGTCCCAGGGCGATTTGAGAGCGGGGACGGTTTGGGCAGTGCTCTCAAGTCCACCTTGACGTACCACACTCGTCGACTTAGCCCCGCGGCATTCATGCCGTCGTCCACAAACAAGAGTTTCGCCCAGCCCCGACCGTCTCTTGAACGAAGACGGTCCATGGTGAGGCTACTCTCCACACGCGACGACGGACTGGTGCTGCAGAATCTGACCGAAAGAGCCGTCGACAACGAGGCGGAGGCGATGCAACTTATGGAACTGGCGGAGAGGAGACGCAGCACCGGCGCGACGCGGCTAAACAGCCGAAGCTCACGCTCGCACATGCTGCTCCTCCTTCGAGTTGTGGGCCAACACGCCTTTCACAAGACCCGGCGTAATGGCACCCTCATTCTAGCTGACCTCGCAGGCAGCGAGAACGTCAACAAGTCGGGTTCTGTCGGCAAAAGCTTCCAGGAGGCGACATGTATCAACAAGTCACTCTCCTCTCTCTCCCGGGTCTTTGATTCGCTTAGGAAACACGAGAAACCCACCTACAGGGAGTCCAAACTGACCTACCTGCTCAAACCAACGCTGGGTGGCGACGCCAAGTGTCTTGTGCTCATCAACATCCGTAGTGAGCCGGAAAACCTCGAGGAGACGTTGAAAGCGATGAGTTTTGGTCAGGGCGCCCTGCAAGTGGCCCCCTGGAAGTCAGGCAACGCTGGAACCCACCAGGGAGCACTTGCAGCCAAGCGAAAACACCCTCGATACCTTACTGGGTGAGGGGAATGAATACTCACTTGGACGATGATTTTAACACCTGTTTTTTCCTTTTTACTTAATTATATGAACAGAGTACTACCCGTTGGTCGTGTCTTACGGGGAGTGGCGACGCCGTCAGCAACTCCAGGTTAACCAGGACATCCCGTAACGTCACAAACTTCTCTTGTCGGCTTTGAGGACCAAAAAGTGTAAAAAAAAGCATTATAGCGTTCAATGACCGTGGCTGGGGATGTGGTGGACCAATGAGACACTCCAAATCCCAAGATTTGAAGAAGGCGCTTGTTCAGGGAGAGCGCGGATTGGCCAGATCCCAAGAGCCTTCCAAATGTGTCGCAGATCGATAGCACCATTTACAAAACAATAAAAAAATCATACACGCATACGCACTGGTGTGCGCATTTGTTTATTTATTGAAATAGCGGAGAAGGTGGAGGCGAAAATCACTTCTTTACAATCTGAATAACGTCGTGGTGGTTAACGGTGTTCGAGAGACCGACTCGTTGTGGGCTGAACTTCACGCTGGTTCCCTGAAAACGCGACAGAGAAGACATTTTATTGAAATGGTTATACCAATTCACATTAGCACACACTCGTGAGTTTTAGACTCACACAAAATTGGATTAAAATAAATCCATTTGAATTGGTCAGTGTACCAATCGAAATTTGACCTTGATCATTGCAGCGGAAGGCCTCCGAACACACTAGGTATCGGCTAAAAACGCACTTAGACGGCCTCTAATGCTTCTATTACCAGAATATTTAGGTTAGGGGAGTGATACACAAAACCACGGTCGGTTTCACGTTTTAGGCATCATAAGTTATGGGCAAATTTTCACACAAGCACCAAATTGATCGACTGACAACAAAGGCAATTTTTTGAGGCGTAAAGAGAAGAGAGTTCAAGATGGACTTACCCAAACTAATGCGTACTTGAAATTGTTGGCCAGAGTTCTGTGAATACAATGGCACTACAAAGAGGAGAAATTTGAAACAATTTATTATACTGAAAGATACGCCGAAAGCGAGCGAGCCCGTTCAACTTACAACATGTTCAACTGTAGCGCCGTTTCGGAGAATGATCCCCTCGTCAAGATCCGGCTTCTCTAAAAGATCAAAATTGGTATTTTATCGACCGACCGCACACTTGTTGGCCGTCAATCAGCACGACTGAATCGTATCGACTGACACGTCTGTTTCTGCTCTCAAATTGGTCAACCACGCTCTCTTGGGTCGGCGACGATTACTTGGTCTTTTACATTGAATAAACGTTATACATTTTAGTCTTGGTTGGATAACACATCGATCTCTACGCTTACAATGCGCGGAATCCCAAGCCACATTAGTTAATCTTGGACAATTCCATGAAATAGACTTACTCCCTTGCTTTTTCGTGTATATTTGAATGAGATCGAGGTACTCCCACAAAGTTCGAAGGAGGTAATCCAGATTTAAATTGAGATTGCAACTAGAGGACAAAGCAGAGGCGAACTATGAAGACACTAAAGATAAGTGCTACTTATTGTAAACGAGTAACAAAAACAACCTGATAACCACAGAGTGGGGCTCGCGTGCCAGGGCATCGACCTCTTCAAGCGAAATTTGATCAATCTTGTTGTACACCTGGAAGGAAGAGAAGCAAAAGCACGGGGTTAGTGCTTAATGTCTAGACGAAAAATCGATTGAAGAGTTGCATAATCACAGAGTGAAATGTTGGAGAAAGTGAATTTGGCAAAGCAAACACTTACATAGAGGCATTTCAGGTAGACCCTGTTGCCCACAATTACATCGATCAGCTGGTCCTGGGTGATGTCCTCACGAATCACGACCTCGGCATTGTAAATTTCTACAAAGCGCAGGTCAAACGGAATGCTTGACAAACAAACTACAAAATGCACAGCAAAGTGCACACAATAATTAAAGAAGGCATCAAAAATGATTTTTTTTAAGTTAAGGCCTACTGTACTCGTGGAGAATCATCTGGACCATTTTGTCGTTGACGTGGGTAAGCGGACACATCGACGTAATCTGCATTCCTCCGGTTTTCTTTTGCTGCAGAAAAAAAGCGACCCAGTTATGCAACGTCGACAACCAACCTTAAAGTAGACATTCGGCTTTCTCTGATTTAATCGGATGCCAACACTTTCCAGTTCCTTTTCAAGGAGCAATCTAAGGACAGAAAGAAAGGAAAATTATGTCTGGGAAGTGGAATAGTGGCATCACACAGCATGTAGACATGGCGTACCGCTGAATATGGGGTTTTGAGGCATCCAACATCATCAAGATAACGTCGGCAGTCCGTGCAACTGCAATCACCTGCCGACCGCGACCCTTACCTAGGAAAAATTCAACATGTTCGAACTATTTTTAATGGATCCAACAAATTCAGTGATGTGTACTCAGCAAAACACGTTGGACAACCTTTTTTGGAATACGAAATTACTCAGATTAGACTTCGTGACAATGGTAACCGCGAAAACTGTTATAAGTACCTTGAGAGGCTCCTTCGATGATTCCCGGGAGATCAAGCAACTGTATCTTGGCCCCTTCATACTAAATCGATAATCGAAAAAAACGAATTGACAAACCTCAATGACACCGGGCACACACGTGAGTGTGGTGAACTCGTAGGAGGCGCATTCACTTTTAGCAGAAGTGAGGGCGTTCAGAAGTGTGGACTTTCCAACCGAGGGGAAGCCGATCAATGCGACACGCGCGTCACCCGACTTCAGGACATCAAAGCCATCGCCTTTCTGTGCTTTGTCTGCCGGTTTGAGCAGCTCCGCCCGGTACTTGGCAAGTTTGGCTTTCAGCAAACCCAAGTGGTATTCAGTGGCTTTGTTTTTTTGCGTGCGGGCAATTTCACGCTCTATTTCAGCAATCTTATCAAGAATACCCATCCCAAAAAGACCGTCTCTAAAAGAGAATGACAGAAAAATTAAATAAGATCATCAAATCAATATAGATAACAATACATTGTCAGTGGAGATAAGCTAGGACCCAGGCGATCAACAAACGAAAAGCCCATCTGCACGCAGGATCACCCTGCTATAACTGGACTTCTAAGAAGTGATTATTCAAAAAAATTGGCTTTACATTCTTCTATTATAGTGCATGTCACAAATATTACCCTGATTTCGTACAGAAGTCCCCAAAGGTCCCTTGATAAAAGTTGTGTATTATTCTAATCACCCAGAACTGGATCACCACAGAGAAAATCGTTTAATATATTTCGTCCAGTGCTAAATCAATATCTGAGCGCTGGCATAATAAAGCAACCACAAAAAAAGTAATGAGGAAAATAGATAAAACCAACACTAACCAATGCGGAGAAGGGCCACGACAGACAGGTTACGCACACAATCCCCTATTAACCAATAAACATGATCTCTCAAAATAGATAGGAAGTGTTCAACGTAAAGATGTTATGAGAACGTTCCAGATATAACTGTCTGAATACATTAAACATTGCTTACAGATTAACTTAAGGAATCCCACAAATTGCTTACTTTTTGATACACTCTGAGTTTGGCGACTAGGGAAAATCATGGATTCGGGGCGAGTGACTAAAAAGAGAGCCTCTTTAAGTGGTTATTAAATACAATGCTGTGGGTTAATTTAAAAAAAATTACACACAGTTTGTTTTATATTTCAGAAACATGAGCCCCATTGTTAAACTCATTTTCTTGGGTTCGAAAAATGTGGAGAAATTAAGATTTTTACTGTTGCAAATTGCTTTTTGAAGCATTATATGATTTAGTCCTCAAGTGTTGCACTTGGGAAATTTTTTAACAGAATCGCTTATAACTTGCGTTATGTTTCTTTTTATTTTAAACTATCTGTCTTATAATTAGTTGAACAGGCGGTAAAATCTGGTTCCAAGTGTAGTTTATTGATTTTCAAAACAACTTTTTTTAGTCTAAGTTTAATTAGCTCCTTGTGAACATTACAAGGACAATATGGCTGGCAAGCTCATGTCAACAATATTTCTACTAGTATCGTGGAGACTGAATTTTATGCTGATTGGGCGTTGTGTGTTGAATTTTCGTTAAATATTTTGAAGGTTTTGACACTCATTCAATATATATCACGAATGTTATGATTTAATCAAATTGAACATTTTAGTCGATTATCTGATATCTGTGGGCGATGCAGAAAATGACTGTTTAATGGTGAATTGTATGTCTTTCTTTCGCATTGTCGTGCAAACTGTCAGCCTTTATTTCGCTGCAATAAGTCCCTTGACGTAAACCAATTCAATATAAGAACGACACTTTAATTTCCATCCCTTTGGACCATGACTGAGAAGTCACATATGCACGTACGAAATATGCCTTGCATTCCAATCTAGTGCGGTTTTTTAATTAATATGCTCTTGGGGTGTGCTTTTTGTTTGTAAATGATTTCCTGGCTGGATGATAGGTTACTTGAATGAACTTATGGGTCTGATTTGCCTTCTTGCCTTTATGACCGTTTACCTTTTCATTATTTACAAGCGCTGAATAGATTTCGACAAGATCACATTAAAAATTATGTTCGCCATCTGGCGTTGGCTTTTATCGGCTTTTAAGCCAGAAAAGGTTACATTACTTCGACCATGTATGACATACGGGTCATCGTTTTAGTGAATTGAATGCTCGTGTCCACTGCGTCACGACTAATTTGATCTTAATTCTGGCTTGCCTCAACTACTGTTCGTCGCTTTTATTACACTGCGTGAATGAAAAATTGTCACAATTGAATTTCTGACATCGGTTTTTGACGAATCGACCACGTCTTTATCAGTACGACTTGTTTTTAAAAAAAATTCGCTTAATTTTAGCCACTGTCAACTTTCGTCCCTTTTGATTTAATCCATGCATTTTTTCATACCATTCCCTAACTTTTTTCCTTAGTATAGATTGTTTACTTATCTTGTTCAGTAGCACTAGTATTATCTTGTATCATAAGTGCTCTACATGTGACATAAGCACGCTCTATTTCAAATGTTATTTATTTTTTGTATATTTTGTTCTTTTCCAAGTTAACAACCTTCGTCAACAAAGGCTTAATTTATGTTTATGATTAGGTGGCTTTTCAAAAAAAATTAAAATGAAATAATGTGAGTGTGCCATGACCATGTCTTCTAGGAATATCCGTTTGACCAAGCATTGCTACGGGAGTTTTATTGCTGAAGGTTGAATTAGTCACTGAGACGGATAAGTGTAAAAGCGAATGCGCACTACAAATTCGATTCACCTAATTTAAACGCATTCCACAATTCATTTTGCTTTATTTCCCGAATCATAGCGCGCTTACATAGGGTGTGTCTGTGATCTGTTTGATATGTGAAAAACAACTAGTATTTCCAAGTCTATGACGTATCGAGTTGTCAGATTTCGTGCAACCTCATTGATGCAGTCATACGTAGCAATCCTGAGAAATTTGCATAACTACCACATGCACAAGACGAATACCAAATGAGGCACCAAACAGACATCTAACACACTCCTTGTTTACAGGATTCCTTAACCGCTTATTGGTCACGTTATCAGCACTGAGAGCCAAAATAGCCCAATCTATGAACGCTGCTCAAACGTTGTCTTTCATTCTCCTGCTGATACCGACTTAAAAGTCCGCGTTTTCGCTGACATTTACTCACTAAATACCACAAATTATTGATTTTATTATATTGATTGACAAACACCAGACTTATTTCATAAAATTGTGGTATCACTGGTGTAGCACGATGATTACTTCAACTAGGCAGCGCGCTCAAACGAGACTCCAGGGTCTGTGTGATTTCGGAAACGCTCACCTCAGACAGAATGTTAAAACTGTTGATGAACTGATTAATCTTCATTTATTTACAACACGAAGCGCTGAGGTATTTACAGGTCTTCCGGCGTGAAATAGGAAGAACACGGAAAGGAGTTTGTGGATTTACAAAAAATAAACACACTGAACGCACACACACACAGACACTCTCTTTTCTGGAATGGAATGGGCGTCTGGTTTTTTTTAAAACTACCCAATAGGACTCGACTTCATGGCAAGGAAGTTGGGAAGAAGATGCCTTAGGTTGTCCGAGGAGACCACCACGTCGTGAATAGCTCCAACCAGTCGTTCTATCTCTGGACCCGAGACCACAGGTTTCGATGCCAAGGTGGTCGCTGTCGCGGGTAAATCGAGACCAGGCGAGGAGAGGTAGCCCGCTACTTCCTTGGTTTGTGCGATGAGTCCCTTGAGAGACTCGCATATCGAGTTCCCCGCCGCCTCAAGGTCACTCCGAAGCTTATCAATCTCCGCTTGTGGCAACGTTGTGGTGGATTGGCTGGGATTTTGAAGAGCCGCTGAGAGATTGGCTGCCAAAGCGACCAATTGGCTTGAGCATCGTAGGAGGAATTTTGCATTGGCTACCAGCACCCCTGCTGTGGGGAGATGGTAGCCACGTGTGTATCTAGGTTCATTGAATTTGGCCTGGATGCATCCGAGGAATTCGTCAGCTGTTCCGCGAACAAGGAGACTGTGCGAGTGGAATTGTGCTGCGTAGACGTGGAGGAGACCGAGCAAGTCTGTTGGTTCGGTGGAATCTAAACTGGTCGCCACACTCTCGTCACGATCACTGACTGACAGAGCACTAAAATGGTCCTCTATCTGTGGAAATCGTCTGGACCCTCCCTCCTCGTTGAAATCAAACCAATTCAACTGGACAATTCCAATGATTGACTGGGTCAACTGTGAAACTTGCTCAAGTGACGAAACCAAATCCCTGAGTGCCTTCTCTGGATGAGGTTCTTTAAGTCGTTGGAAGGTTTCAACAAGACGTCCATCTCGCTCCTTCACGAGTTTCTGGCGTTCGTCTTGAAGCAGGGATACCACACTCGAATCTAAAATGCTGATGGATTCCATGAGTCGCTCTAGCTGTGCCAACTCCATCAAAAGACCCTGTTCGATATTCCGGATCTTCATTATCAGGACCTGCGCAGAGCCCCCGCGTCCAAGTAGATCAATTAATGCGAGCGCTTCGTTAACTAAGAGGTCTATTCTAGAGTGGGTTTGCTGCCAAACTGACCGTGCCGGAATAGATTGCAAATCAGTCATAGGAGCCGACCTCGTCCGCAGCAAACCCAGGGACTGTGGAGGTGGCAGAGCTAGTGGTGTGACATTCGCTGGAGGCATTGCCGAAATCCGATTTTCTGGAGGTAGGAAGGTGTGGGGAGAGGTAGGGAAGGGATGGGATTCTTTGTGGAAAGGCAAACTTGCCGCAGTGCCTGAGGTTTTCACATCGGCAGCGGCATTGGAAGTTGGAAGTGTGGTGGAGGTGGAGTTGGGTACACGACAGTTTCCATCGGGGGCTGATGAAACGGGTGGTTCCACAAAACGAACTGAGGGTTTGTCGGTTTGAGGTGCAAAATTCTGGCCAGGCTTCCGAAACGACCGCTTTGGTATGTTGTCAGATACGGTGATATCCTACAGCAACATCAACAACAATCAATGTACTCAAACGTACTGCTGTTAACACTTTAAAATTGGCAAAAATAGAAATCTGTGTGTTTGAAACAATTCAACTGTTTGTTTTTCTTAAAAAAAGTGCTAGTTATTCCATCTTGACTGCGATTAGACAGGAATGCAGAATGCAAATCACCACCGACATGAAGCAATGGTGTGCGGTTCAGTTAAGCAATGTGCAGACCTACCGCAGAGATTTAAAAAATGCTGATTTACGAACTATTTTACTTTCAAAACTCCACTCTTCCTTTGTGAAAGGTTTAAATCATTCGTAATCAGTAAATCCTGTCCACGTAGCTTGTTTTGTAGGCCAACGACCAAATTGGGTGACATTTCAACAAATATAGATCAATTTGGGATGTTGATTTGACCTTGAGGACGACCAATGAAGTGCGAGTTAATGGTGGGGGCTTCGTGAAGTGGAATTCCCCATTTTTCAAGCACTGCGATTGTGGACAACTGTGCTCTGAAAATTAAACAAAACTCTTTTTTATGGTAGTCTACGATTTGGACTTTTTGTTAGTCGGTTACCTGGAAAAGGCAAGACACAATTACTCCTTCAATACCACCGATGGAACCGTTAATAGCCAACATCACAGCCATTTATCACTTTAAGTTGTAGACGTTGTTGAAAATAACTTGACCTACCTGTGGTTTTAACGTCTACGCCCTTGTGAAAAAGCCAAAATCACTTTTTTTTTAAAAAAAGTACATTTTCGAACCCGGTTATTATTCTAAAAAGTCCCTTTCCATTCTTTTGATACTGAAAATTTTTACAAGGAATCAGGAGGAAGCTATTTATCAATTAGATAAGACTGACAACGTGTCATTTATGCAAAATTAACAAGCAGGCCAAGCACGGGATTGGCCAAGATTCAATAACCCCGCCCTAACGCCACACTTCAGATGTAAACTAAGACCAAAAGGGGAAATTTAAATTACCTGAGAGATGGGGCGGTGCAGATCTGTGCGGCATTAAATGAACTTGACAAAAAGACGAAATTTAATTAGTCAAAGTGAGCGCGCGTATCGAATTTGTCGTCGTTGAATTGGGTAAAATAAGGCCAGGTGTAAGGACTTCTGTGAAGACAAAATTTAAACAAACAAATTTGCTCATGCACTTTAATGAATGCAAAACTTGCTCCCAGCTGTGAAGATGCGGGTAAGTAAAACTTCCACCTCGATCTTCGCCAATTTTGTGTTGAAGCGAATTTCCTCCAAAAAAAACAGGTTTTTGTTGTTAAATAAATCGTTGTTAATTGCCACCGATTGACCGCTTAAATGCCACAATGATTATCAAAATTTTCATCGAAAACTTTTGTCAATACAGTGTAAAGGATCGAAACCAATCAGGTATTGGCATGCAATTTGTGTCGTTGGCATACATAAACAACCAATCATAATTTAAATACTAGTATATATTTCAAAACCTGCGTATTTTAAACTATTCAAATTTAGTATCCTACGTGTTCTGGAATGTAGTTATGACGTCGACTGTGATTGGTCAAAATGGCACTAACACTCGGATGTACCTTACACATTTATCGATCGCCTACGAGCAAACAGTAAAAACTTGGTTTAGCCAAATTGTACTTTTGCGAAAGAAAATACCACCAATGATTTCCAGTTGTGTGCACACCGTACACAAGTTATGTGTAGCGTCTCCGGTTGCCAGGGCAACAGTGAGGAATAATTTTTTTCCTGTTGCACTAACAGCCTCTTCTGATTTACTGAAAAATCGGAGCAATTACGAGGTGTATCAGGGCAGAGTGCCAAACCATTGGGACAGTTGTCAACTTGGATGCTTTCAATTGGCTTCCAGCAGATTTCGCTTAAAAAATTGAAAGCCAGTCAAGATTGCCCGGCAGCCTCAGTCGTGTTTGAACAATCTGGGTTCATTTCGATTGGCAAAAGCGTTTGACTGTTGGAAATTTTCCGTTTTTTACATATTCTGGCAACAGACGCCAGACTGAACCTAGTCTAGAACACAAATCAATAAATTTAACTGCCACAAGTTTTGCGGAAGGGTGGTTTTGAAAGCTAGAATAAGCCCCGTTGGTGAAACAGTGTCCCACAACGCAATCCCTCAGTCGTCGAGCAAATTTCAAAACGCCCTCGTGACATTTGCTTGAGATGTAAACAGGCATGCGTATCTCGCTTTGTGCGGGTAGTAGCATGTAAACCTCGTGACATTATTTATGGGTGTTGGCGAAACGTTTCAAGTAGACGCCAATGGGTCTGCGAAACTCACTCCATTTTGAATCATTTGTAGGATTGAGACTTCAATGGCGTAATTAGAAATTAGCCCCTACCTGATAAATTGCGGGTGTCTGGGCGTAAATGCGAGCCACCATGTAAAGTTCTTTGGTTGTGAGTGTGCGTGTAAATGTGTTCCTTTAAAACTGCCCACTACCTGCACTCCTAATTGCCCTATTTGCGATTTGCGGTGCGTATTGAAAGCAAAAAAACCTGTTTCCCTACTGGAACACCCCTAACAATAACTGTCGCTGTTGGCTACACCGCTTACGATTTAAGAATCGATCGGAGAGGCTAATTGGCTAACGGCGTTCAAATATTTTCAATGACCACTCCTTAATTTGGTATCCCAGACCGTTGACGGGCTCAACATCTTCCAATCCGACATAACAAAAAACACATTCCCGGCTTTGCATTTTGTTACATTGTTTTAAATTGCACAAAAATAGAACCGGGCAGATCGAACAAAACATTCTAAGTTACGGCTAATTATTTGCACTGTACTGGAATCCAGAAAAGATCGATGATGTAATGATGCGCGCCATCTTGTGATTTCAGTCAAGGGATATGGCGATGGCATATTTTTTGCATGTATGGTAAATAAACGAGTCATGCAGCAGCGTGCACGCGGATATGCGGGGAAGTGGTAGGTATTTGGAAGTGGATTGAGGGAGAAAGAACAGAGAGAGGTGTCAGTATTTCATTGACATTTTAAAAATTTTATTTGAAGTGGCTATTCTTAAGGGTAAAAGTAAAGTGACCAAAACGAAAATACAGGCTTAACTCAGGCTGTTAGAAGCCGCTATTGCATTTTATAAATGCCTTTTTAATGAACTATTTAGTAAAAAATTCAATATGACGCTGCTACTGGATTTTGTCACCAACGTGCACTCACGTCCTACCAATGCGTGTCGAGCAAACGCTAACCAATGGACAAAGAGTTTCTACGTGAGGTCAAATCCTATTGGACTTTCGGTTACTAGATGTGTGCATTGATCATGGACTTCTAAGTAAACAACGGACTTCCTTCTAACATCGATTTTTTGTCAAATTGAAATTTTTAAAAATCATTGGAAGATGCCAATGGAACAGACAAAATTACTGAATGATTTTGTAACGTTTGTGCTAACGATAACCTATCACACCCGTACCTTCCTGGTCTCCACTAAATGCATCAAGTTCCATAACTTTAATGTTAGATTTAATCCTACCAAAATTTCAATTGGCTGCTTAGTTAAAACATATTTTGTCTGCTATTTTTCAGTTAGTTTTTAATTTTTTGCTGTCCTGAGCACACATTTGCAAAAAAGAAGACCACTTAGCCCGATGTCATTGACCTGGATTTGACCTGATCTCCACGTTAAATCCCAGTGACCACTCCAAAGTTATTTTCAAATATTTCCCGACTTAAATTGACCGACAATAAAACTTTTAAAGGGCAACATTACCACTACCGCAAAGCAATTAATTTTGCTAAGTACCATGCCATGAAAATGCAACAAATTATTTCAGACTGGGATTTTATGACCCATGTCACTTAGTGAGTGGCTTTGCTTTCATAAATAATCGTCATTTCCGGCTAATGAAACACAACAACTCGCATAATTTTCATTCTCTTGACCATCAGGAGTTGATGTCATTAGTGAGCGTTTTAGGATAAAGGTTTAATGTGTTTTCGCGCATAAATTGGCGCCAGCATTAGTAGGCTGTGTAATAGAAGCCTCAGTTGTTGGAAATATCTTTCACAAACAACGACGAGTAACTCAGCACCTTGTCCATGTGCATGGTAAATTCAAGACGACGAATCCATTTCAACATTCCCCGATCCCCAACCATCAGGTCCGAGCCAGCTAGCGATTCAGTGAATAGTTTTTAAGGATGTGAGATTGAATAAATTTGATTGGTTCATTTAGTGTGCATTTTAGCTGGATGGTTAATGCATGCCACTTTGTGGGATGCATCCCTTAGTCAATCATCAAGATTTTACCACATAAATTAAACTTTAAGCACCATGTGTATTAAAGTGTGAAATGAACTAAATTTAATGATTTTTAGAGCGGGGAAAATTTATTTTACCATCTGTAACCTTCATCACGAACTTGTGCTCTACATGCACGAGCCAGACATAAATATCGAAGTTATGATGATTATTTGGTATAAAATCAACTAATGGAAGCGTAAAAAAACTCAGGAAGGAAAATAATGCTCAGCTTACCAAACAATTATCCGGTTCTGTTATTTTCCGATCTATTCCCTATTTTAGCTGTTTGCTGATAGCCTCATTGGCCGGGGGGTGTAACATTTATGATGTTATTGCCCGTAGTGCCTTGTTTCACAATGCTGACTTCCGTTACGACAAAGTTCATTTATACCTCAGGAGATAACACGTGAACTTCCTTACGTTATGGGTCTTCTCTGTTATCCCTCTATCCGACATGCCTGCCTGCTATGGTTTGAGCCGCTGCTGTTATTTACACCACCGAACAATTGCATTTATTTATAACTTCTGGGCCACCCTTTGTGCATTTCTGTCCAAGAAAATCGGAGTGCAAATGGATCTATGCGTTGCTAACGCCGCCGAATCATGAGCTACCAAATTTGGCGCGTTAGAGTATCAAAGACCTCCACAATGCCACGTAATTCGCATCTACGAAGGGCAATATTTCACAGCATGTCATCACAGGATTTTGATGAATAACATAAACGGTTGGGCGTATCTGCTTGCGCGAGGCAATCGAATGCAACCCTGTTGTGTTGTTGATGTTGTTGTTGTTGTAGTTGTTTGAATGCGCTAATCATAACTCTGTATAAAAATAACACCACCGTGGAGATTTGAAAAGCGTGTGCTTTCCTACTCCTCGGAAAATTCACCGACACTGCAGTCAATTCGACCCAAATGCATAAAGCGCACACACGTTCCCGCATATTACTTACTTTTACTTTTACTAGTCGAAAGAATCAACCAGATTAGTCCGTGGACTTTCATTGCACAACTACAGAAGGCATTACTGCTCCCTAAGATATCAAAATTCATTTCACCCAACCAAGGTTCTACCTGAGATAAGGGCATTTAACAGGTAAATCCGTAAGGCGGATATCTGTAATCTTGTGAATTTTGTGAAAATGCATTCATATTGGTAAACGTTGCACGGCTTTTCAGCTGTTTACCATCTTCTGTTCACCCTTGGTCTCCACTCAGCCAATGACATTTACAACCTTGGGTAAAATTTTAGCCTTGTTTATAGACACGGGACAGACGGAAAGGGGGCAAGTAAAAAATACCAAAAATTAGCCATGTTAATTTCTATTCCATTCGTTAAAAAATAATTTGAAAAAAAAAACTACAATACACAGAACAAAATTTATTTGTTTAACTAATGTCTCGATTTGATGTCTCAGATTATTGAGGCATTTACTTTTGCGTGATAAGAAATTCGTGTCTGAATAATCGAATTGCTCCGCGGTTTGGTCTTCGGTCAAAACGTCGATGTAGACAAAGATGGGAGGTAGCAAATGACGGCTAAGCAATCACCATGGCTACTGGCACCATCATTTTACCAAACGGGGATCCTCTATTGGTCAGCTCAAGGTCAAACCGCATTTTAATGGAAAAAAGTATATCGAACTTAATCCGCGCAGACTAAATGCAATTTTAGAAGGTTATGCAGAAATTACTAATTTGTCAGGGCAGTTGACGTTTTTGTGCAAAATCAGATATTAATAATTCTTTGCTTCTGTTTATGAAAAACCACTGTTTCTGACGGATTTGACAGGAAACCATTTTACAGCTTGATCAAACAACTAAACGCTAAATGATTAAGTCTAACTGGATGAAAAAAAGGCATTGTACATGTAAATGTCATTGTTGGCCCATTAAAATAGCAAATTATACGAAATTGTTATTGCAGCAATTCGCATAAAGTTTTATTCTATAACGAATTACAAATGTGTATTTTGCATTGGTTTTTATTTTTCTATTTACGGGGAAAAAACGCAGAAGCTCACAAAGACATCGAGAATGTTTATGACGATCGTCGTCCAACATAGCGCATAGGTTTTCTGCGAATTTCAAATGCAGTGTTTGGCTGACAAACAACTTTATCGATTACCGTGCTTTTCGATTGTGTCAACGATAATGAAGCGCATTTAAACAAAGGGTGTCTAGGTGTTAGTGTTTCCCAAGTATAAACAAGGTAGTCTCTCACCTGATCATTCTTATTATTAAGATCCAAAGCTCTGTTCGAGGAGGGAGCACCTGAAACTGTCTTAGTTGGAGTTTCAAATGCTGCGGGCGAAATAGGCGGAGACATTGGATAGGGTATCCTCAGAGAGGTTGGTGATGCGCTTAGACCATCTTGTGTGCTACCTGAACCGCAAGGGTAGTTCTCGTAGCAGTTAGCGTACACCGACATCTGCGACTGTCCCATCGAATTTGCGGCCGACTTGGTTGTTGGAGCGAGTGAATGGGTGGTGGCCGATGGGACCATGTCTATCACCCCTGGCAACTCGTCGTATGGATCAGTTTCAAGAGGGTTCACTAAGGCTGTCACCTGTGTCGTCGTCTTACCAACTGCCGGCGTCTTTTTTGGCTACACAGAAGACAATTCAAAGAAAAGACTTTAATTGACGCCTCAACAGCGGACGAGGAATGCTAGATATCTGACAAATTTACGGCGGTTTCGAGTAGATAGCGATGTGAAGTATTTATGGCTGAGTGTATTCCATAATTTAAAAAAAATGATTTATTTTGACGGCTCTCATCAGTTCAAAGGTGTACAGAAAGTGAACAGTCAGCAAGAAATGCCAGGCAAAATTATAATTATTTTTGCAAATGCAATAAAGAAGTAATAACATGCAAAGCATCAAATTATTGGGAGATAGAAGTCAAAGCGAAGTCCTCAAATAACCAAAACAGACTTAAATTGCATGCCCGGTACTACTCATACGAAAAAAGCACCTGTTATCTACAGAAACTAGGTAACGTGCATTATCATTAACAGAGATATTCACTGACTTAATAACCTGAACAGTTGACTACCATAAACGATAAGGCCTTCACCAAAATCCAAAGTTCTTTGTCAGCTGTTCAGGTACCCATAGCAGTCTCTCCATGTGACAGACGTTAAAACAGCTCTCGTGAAATTTGCTGCATGGAAAGTACATTTTAAGTTGCATACCAGTGAAAAGGTTTGAGCACTTTAAAAGTCCGCTTTTCCTAACCTATGAGGGTCTGATTAAAAAATTAATATTTCATGCCACCCGATTGGTTGCGAGGGTGCAGGTACAGATGAAAACCAACCAAAAGACCAAATTATGTCAGTTGTGGAACCATCGCAAATTAACTTTAAGTGCTAATGAGACTCGCATTATTCGCTCATGAAATTCTTCGCTTGGCCTTCAAATGACTAGAATACTTCCCTCGCAGTTGCGATAATGATGATTACTAGATGGTTCAACTAAAACAACACGAAATTCACAAGGCATTAGTGCCCTCGGTTTCGTGTGGGTGCACATCCATTGTCCATGCTTTGCGATGAATTCTCGCAAGAGACAAAGTTAAACAAGTCCGTCCAATGCAGTAATCGCAATGCTAAAAACGACGATTGGTGAGGAAAAAAGAACCAGCAGTTTGCAAAATGCTGGTGCTTTTTGCAACAGCTCGACAATTGCGCTTTTACAAGACCTCGCTGACGCAAAGAAAACTACATTTAATCAACCAGAAGTCTCCTGAAATGGCGCTACTCAGCAAAGTGATTTACGAATCAGTTTGGGCGCATTTGATTGGTTCAGAATGCAGGTGGTGATGGGTCATCCAGTGGTGTCTTGAGAAATCAGCCAAACCAAGGGGCTAAGGTAACCAAAACCGACTCAAACTGAATGCCTGATACTACTCACACGAAATCAGCCTCCATCATCTGTATTGACCAGCAATCCCTGCAAATGCCAATTCCACCTCACGTTTTCACTGTTGACTGCCAGACTCTGAAGATAACCACAAGCAGCACCAGCCAATGACGCGCGAGCAAATTTACCGCATGACGGTGTCTGCTGCACCACAACTGGACATCACCTCAGAGCACTGCCTTACGTGGCGATCTCGCAGTGTGCAATGTGAATCCAGATGGGGTCTCAGTTGGGAATCCCGCAACGCCGATCCCACGACTTGATCGACAAGTCTCACCACTTGCAGTCATGCATGTGCCAACACGAGTTGTGAAATTGTGGGATGCGTGCAATCGTTTTCACGCATTCACCCAACATACCGCGCTTGTGCGTGAAACCAACGTCTTCCTGTTCGCCCGAATAAAAAAGCATGCGACATTCAGCCAGCACTTGCAACGTACTTTTGCATTGTTTGCCAGCTACACCTCTTCGTCGTCGTCGTCGTCAGCATCTTCTCTTCCTTTCTTCGCCTAACACTTTCTTTAGTCTCACAAACGAACAATTCCAATGTTTGGCATTCTCACTTGTACGGAGTGTGTAATGATTTGAAGGAATGCCATCGACGTCCTCCACACTCAGTTAGTAGACATCTGAGTGCTTCAAGTCTCTGTTTAACAGGTAGTCAGTGGTAGAGTCGTCCTCGAATGCATCATTCAGCTGTGTTCAAGGTCTGCATAGGCTAGGAGATGTGCAACTTCATTGCATCTCAAGCCGTTGTACTCCATATCTTTTCACTGCATGAAATGTGAGCTGACGATAATCTCCACCGCCTTCCCATGCTGTCACTTTCAATCTCCACTTGTGCTCTACGTCGATTACCGCTTCTCCACTGAGCCCTTCAACTCGCTTCGTTCACAGCCACTCACACACGCACACACACGCAGTCTGTTCCCACCATCTCCCCACAATACCCACCTACTCAAGCGCACACACACACACGCACACACACCCTCGCAGTCTGTTGCAGCAGCATTCATTAGTGCGTGTCTGTAATTTCACCTCTGAGGTAAGGCATTAACCGCATTTCGCGACAGGGGAGACCACCGAATCGCGCAGTTAATTTGCTGCACCAACTCCGCCGACGCCTTTGTCGCAGGGTGGATAGGAAGGTGCAAGCAGTGTGACTCCCTCACTGACACCGAAAACGTCTCGCATTTGGCTCCACGCGCGTGTTTGACCACCATCCGCACGAAATCGGAGACAGTTGGGGTGATGAGAGATGCATCCAATGAAATCGGGTGAAGCAATGAACGTGTTCTCGCGATCACCGCTCAGTCATGGATCAGGTTGATAAACAGGCCATTTCATTTATCTGTGCCTTGCATTCACTGCGTATTGTATAAACTTTCCACTGGTTGCATGACTCTTAATGGGACGTAATAACGGTTATTAATTTTTCATCGGACGTGGTAACGCCGTCTTGCTTATTTCAAGATGCCAACTTCGAACGCGCAAATAGACGCTGACAATCGATAGCTCACAGCATTTGACACCAACATTTAGTCAGTCTTCAGAATTGAGTCTTCCGTTGAATTGAGTGCGTGGTGTGTGCCTAGTCACAACTTTTGCCTCAAATCCCTCATTAGTTATTCCCACATCCATAGCCCTGATTTGATTAGGGTTTTGTCAAATATCAACTTCTTCCTAGGGTGCAGGTGGAGATGCCACCAGCAGCCAAACGCATTGCGATTTTATTCGACAAATGTCTGGTTTTGAGCTGATACGGTAACCTGTCAACCTCTAGAATGAGACCTCAACATAGCTTCAACCAGCCATGTTGGAAAGCAGCAATTTCACAATTCAGTCCTCCTTCCAAGGTCAAAGATTAAGACATCAGCACACAAAAATTTTTTAATGACTCGCATTTCTAGGGCGTCGCATGGAACAATATGGGAAATGTGGACAATATTTTAACTTAGTTAGTTGGTGCTGTTAAGCCATTTGGATTCCAATTATGTTTGAACGCATCCTAAATGGCACAGCCCGAAGAATAATTGCACAGCAAGATATTTTAAGCATTAATATGATCCACGTGTACTTGGGCAGTCCATTTATGCAGACTATTTAATTAGCACCCGTCTTTTCATCCTGCGTTGAAAGGAACACCGCTATTGATTAGACAGATGGGCAAACAAATCCCGTGGAATTTCGCAAAAATAAATTTCAAAAAATATCAATTCTGTTAGAAGATATTCCTTATTTTTAAACGCTTATCGCTGTGAAATGTATTTGGCTAGTTCCATCGGGATTAAATCAAATTCTCAGCATGTTGAAGCCTCTTTCCTGTCTTATTTGCATGTAATTTTTGCAAACAAATTAGCGCATTAATTTGCAATCTGTGATGGGATTGCCAGAAATTATTTAACTAGCCCGAAAGGTGCTTGCATGCGGGTGTCAGATGCATGTAAATGTCAAACGCCGACCCTGTTAAGGCATTGTAAACTCTTACTACGCAAGTCATCACAAACCAAACCGGCTGGGGAATCATATGCGAATTTAATCAAAAATGGGATTCATCCTTACATGTGCAAGTAAACTTGCTCGCTAACATTTCCGTGTTCCCATAACCGAATTTAAGATTGAATGAATAAGTAAAATTATCATTTGTGATAACTTGACCTGACCTGAATTAGTGTCCAGCAATGATGACCCTAACCGCAAAATGGTCATCTGCGTTTAAGCGACCTCTTCGTAAAACATTTCCAATTCCACCTTGCAAGGATCAGTAAAACCAGATTGAGGGTGGATCTATGCCTGTAGTAAATTAACGCAAAAGAATATCATCCACCTCCAGTAGTTATTGAAAAGCCCTGAACGCAATTCGCTAGCTATTTTTGTCAGCTAACCAATTATTCATCACGTAGCCAATTTCGTGTTTGTTTAAACCAAAAGGCACTCTGGGTGACCAAATTAAAATTTTAAAAAATGGAACTAATATTTGCAGCTACAAAATCGGATTGCGGGTCTGAATCATTTCTGCTTAATTTTTCTGAAAGATTTCAGGGCTATCAGTGAAGTTAATTTGGACGTCAAAAAAGCATGGTTGTTATCGTCAACGAAGAACTTCCTGAAATAGTCTGACAAGAAAGGCTTCGACTATTTCAACATTGAAAATCAAGACGTCGTGAAGTTGAATCTGATCGCGCGAAAGATTCCCTTGCAATTTACTGTGACGATTGAAGCAGAGGAGTTTTAGTAAGATGGACGAAATATTCTGGGATGAAGAATATGTCACAGTTATTGCAACAAAACGACTGTTCGATTCCACGAAACATCCCGATTCCATGGTTTTCTGGAGAAGAGACTCTTCATTTATACAAATTTGCGTCTGGAACACTGTCGCTTCGCAAATCAATTCAGCACATTGAATATTTATTTAAATTGTAAAATGTCACTCAAAACTCCACAAATTTTGGTACTTGTTTAACTGGGCGGTCATCGCAAGAACATGTGGGAGCTGTCTTATAAGGATGACATCTCAACCCCACGCCCTCATTGCTTCAAACGATGTCATTGGATGCATCTCTCAACACCCCAACTGTCT